GCCAGGAGCTCAGCCTTTCCTCTGAGTCTATGCAGTCTTCGCAGTATCAAGTTTCTGTAATCCGTTTTTGTGTGATTAAGGGTGTGCGTGTTCACCAAGTTGTTAATCTCTCAGTATTGAACTGGTTCGTCAATTGCCCACATATCCAAACCTACAGCTGAGAGTAGTTTCTCATATCTCAAAATATATGATGTTATTTCAGTATAATTTTCACTGTTTGCTACCTGCTGAATGATGTCTTGTGTAATCTGAGGTATGTCAAAAACAGTGAGAAAACATTTACTGGTGTTTGAATTTACATTTTCTTGTTTGGAAAGAAAACATTTCAAACCTTCCCAAACCTTTCAATCCCACATGAGCTATTTGATATAAATGAATCATAAGTGGTGACACTCTTTTCCAGTCAATTTTGCAAGTAAAATCTAGTCTTAGAACTCTCAAAAGCACCTATAATCTCTCACATGAGAAATACTTAATTGCAGCCATCTAGTTTCAGTAGATGCCCTGCTTTTTCTAGGAATTTTCTGTGAAAATATATTCATTTGGAGGCTGTATTCTTCTAGCTGGGCTTTGAAAATGTGGATCTAAAAGAGCTTTCTGAAAGACTGAGATACTGGTTAACTAGAAAGCAAAGGGATCTTTTTCTCTACTTAAAACAGAAATCAGTTGTGGGTTGTTTGGTTTTTTCCTTCCTTTTTGTGAAGGCTTGAATGCAAAGCTAGTTTTGCTTCTCACTTGGAAAAAGTGTGTCTTCTCAGTTGTATGAGAATCTCTACCATTTCAAACTTTTCCATATTTGCAATATAATCTATTGTTGTCATGGGAGGGGAAACCAACTAGATATTGAAACTTCAAACATTTTTTTTTTGCTCAAAAGTAGTAATATATTTGTAGTTATCAAAGTTACTAATTCCTATTTAATAGTAAATCTATTTCAGATGAAAAAGTTAGACATTTTCATCCTCAAAGAAATATGTCAAAAATGGGGACATGAAAAAAAAAAAATCCTATAAAGTCCCCTGTTTGTTTTTTTTTTTTCTTTCTATTTAGTATACCCTTGCTTCTCTCTAGCTAACCAAAGGGACTGAGGTTCTCTTTGAATCTTGGAGGCTTTAAAGGTTTTGGAGCTGAAACCACGGAATACGTTATTTTGTTGAATGGAGCAATTAGTTACAATCTATTTACAATGGCTTTTTATTCTTAATTCACTCAGAGGTTACTGGAAGCTACTTCTAAAGAGCATTTCTTGTCCACAGTTGCTTGTATTCTAAATATTCTAAACGTATTCTAAATGCACAAAGTCCTTTGGGCATTAAAGGCACGCTAAACATTTAGCAGGACATGAAAGGGATTTGGTGAAACTGGGGAGGCAAATCGCGCTCCTGGTTATGAAAGTGGGGGTGCATTGGGGAAGGACAGTCTGAAAATGGTACTGACATTATCTTGGGTGAAACCGATCCTATTCTGCAAGTTAAATTTTGTACTCTGTAGTGTTCACTGCAGGCAGTGTTGGTTAAAAGCTCTTTGAGGGAAACTTTCTGATAAATTTAGCAAGTTTCAATCAAGTGCTTAGTTTATTTCCAGGTTGAAAAGCAAGTGTAATGGTTTTAATGGGGACCCAACTGGTTCTAGGAGCTACCTACTTAGTAGCACCAGAGGAAGAGACTGAAGGTGTGAAGAACGACCGAGGTCCTGAGGCTGCCTGTAGGATTACGGGGTGTGCTGTCCCCGTGCCCTCTAGGTAAACGGTTGGAAGGAAGCGGGGGCAGAGCGTGTGGTGTGATGGGGCTGATTCCCCCAGGTTTCTCAGTGAGCAAGATGGTTGTAGATAGACTTTATGCCGGACTCTGGAGCAGAAGTGGGAACTCTGAAGCGACAACACTGTACCAGGGAGCTGCTGCAGCGGTGCCGGGCGTTCCTGCCCTGTGTACGGAGGAGAGCTGTGTGGTACACAGGGATATGTGGTGGTGTTCCTGTGGCTGTGCGCTCCTCTAAGCACAGTGCCCAAAACGAAGTTTTCCTTTGGTTTTACCTAGCAGCAGGATTCTTCTGATTTGTTTTTTTTTTTTTCCTTAAAGAAAGGAATAACACTTTTCTGAGAGAAAACCCTCAGGAATTACATCAACCATATAAAATATAAATACATTTTCCCTCCCATTGCATAAATGATGGATTAGCTTTTCACTGGAGAAACAGTGTAGGATGTAAGCACAACTTGTGTAACTCGTGAAGTAGGCTGTGGTGTACAGCAGCCGACTGTTATGAAACACGAGACTGCAGGAAATATGATTAATAGGTGATGGACACCCCTTGGTAGACCATTTCACTAAAGCACATGTCCTATCATGAGTGCACCATGGTTTGTATTTATGTGCACTGAGCAACTGGACAGAGAGAAACTACTGCCTGTTGGAGTATTATCTTATCCAGCAGTGTGTGAGATTTTGAAAAAGTATAATTAATAATACCAGACCTTTTTGTCCTTTAAGGAAGAAAAGCACTTGTCATTTTTCAAGAAGAAAAGCAACAATTTGTGAGGGTAGAAGTCAAATGAAGTACTATCCTTTTCTCGAGCAAGACGTGACTCTGATTTAGGGAGGAGAATACATAGAGCTGAACGTGAACTTCGTGTCCTCAGACTGATTAGCAGCAGATGAGAAGTACGCCGCAGCAGCAATTGTCTCTGTAATAGCTGTGGGATGCACAGAGAATGCCAGTTTGCTTTATGAAGCTAACCAAGCAAAACTGCCTGCTTGGCATGTGCTTCGCTGGGCTGGTATTGTATGTCACCATTATGAGACACCACTTTTGTAGAGCAAGTGAATACAGCTCTTAAACAAAAAAAAAAGTGTGTGTGTGGGGAGAGAGCTATTTCCAAATCCCCCAGTACAAGTTTTATAAATCTGGTGTATCCAGACCCCTGATTCTGAAAGGCATTAAGACCCTGCAGGAATTACACCCCGGCAACTGTTCAAGCTCCTGTTGACGCATAAACAGGCAGGCCTACGAAAACCGAGTAGCTTAGATCTGTTTCTCCCTTCTTGGTCGGTGATGAGCTAATTTTATTTTAAAATTCAAGAGTCTTTTCTGCTTGGTGCATGAAGGGACAGAGTGAATTCAGCGGAGCTGAAGTTTCCTGAATTATAATAATCAGTAATGTTAGCCCTGGCTCTGGGTTAGGGAAGGATACGAGGTTGGATTAAAGGTGCCGTGACTTTTTCACTTGCCCGAGACAGACTTTTTTTTTCATTATATTAGTGCAAGGAAAAATTACAAAGTTGGAGGACTTCACAACCTGTAGCTGATATTTCCTGTAATTTGGTCATTTTAGTTTAGTTTGGCAGGGTTTATTAGTCATGATTTGGGGAAAATTTTAATCCCAACTTTTAACTTTTTTTAATATAACTGAACTTTATCAACATTGCATTTATTGTTTGCACGATTCCTGTCTGGAAACTGGTATTAGGGCAAAATATCTAAGAGTCAAATATATTCTCAATGCGATTTCTTTCTATTTTAATGAAGTTGAGGGGCAGCTTTGCCTGTCTACTGAAAGGAAAAAGTATCTTTGACATCAGAGCTTTGGTGTAGTTTACCTACATGAGAGCAGAACCAAAAATTAAGGTAATAGTTTTCACAATGAAAACCTATATTTGTTAAAACAACATGCTCAAAATAGATAAATAAAAATTCTGATAAATAGGTAAGCTATTCATTTAATGCGTTTTGCATTATGGAAGCTTACAGTCATCATCGTGCATAGATATTAAGCTATTTTAAAAAGAAAACTGACATTGCAAGATCTCAGAGCTGATAAAATTTGTCTGTCAGCTTTTTCACATGAAAATAGAAATTTTTTTAAAATAAGACACTGAGAAACAAATTACTTGCAAAAATATTTTGCTTTATATTTACAAGCTATTTTTTCCTACAAAAAAGGCAGCTTTCTTAAAAAGACTTTTGTTTATTTTTTCCATGGAAAATATGCCGGTTCCTGACAAAAGACTTTTTTTTTTTTTTTTTTCCTTCCCCAGACAAGTCTCTTTCCTTCAAAGTGCACATTGCACTAAAAAGTGAAACAATGTCAAAAATGTTGGGGTATTACTACAGGTGCCCCACTGCTCCCCCAAAACATCGAGTGATCCTTTGGATGAGAAAAACCTTTGAATTACAACTGAGGACTGATGCTCATGAAACTTGTCCGTAGGGTTCTGCCTAGGTGACCTTGGCCACATCATTAAAATACCAATCCTGGAGATGCATCTTAGGATGTTTTGCAGATGCTGGGGCCCGTGCTCTTCGTATTCCAGTTACTCTGTTTTAAGTGGGCCAGCAGCAATGAGGGTGTCACAGACATATCAGGGTGCTCTTCTACACAAGCCAGTGAAGGCAAAATGATTTCCACTTTGGAATGGACAGGGCCCTGATCTGTAAACTGTTTCTCTAAGCTTTATTTGCAACAGTGAAAGAATAAAAGCCTTTAATAATGAAGACTCTAAGCAGTTTCACTTATGGTAGAAACGCCTGATTTGCTCATTCAAGTGTGAGGTTTTTTTTCCAGGCTGCTTCACTTTGAAACAGCATATCGGAAGGAAGATTGTATTTTGCTCACAAGTACTGCAGCCTGCCAATTGCAAGTCCAGTAATAGACATTTCCAGGGAGTAGAGGCTAAGGCATAGCTTGACCAATTGGTATTAACTACATGTAGTAGATGAGAAATGCTGACATTTATTTAAAAAAAAAAAAAAAAATTCTTTGAGAGACTTTTCTTCTCCACAGTACACATGCAATATAACAGAAGTTGGTGAATTGTGCAGCAGTTTAATTTTAGCTTGGAGAGGACTATATGACCCACACTTTCATTTGATTTTTTTTGTTGTTGTGTTATATGGTTAACCTAGTAGGACCTGGTTTTTACTGTTCTGTTCCTGCAGTCCTTTTAAAATGTGTAATGCAATATATGTAACATCTTAAACATCTAAAGTTGTTTGTAATTTAGGCTTTGGAAACATCTCCCCACGCACACAAGGTGGAAAGATATTCTGTATCATCTATGCCTTATTGGGAATTCCTCTGTTTGGTTTTCTCTTGGCTGGTGTTGGAGATCAACTAGGGACAATCTTTGGAAAAGGAATTGCCAAAGTAGAAGATACCTTTGTTGTGAGTATGCTGGCTGCCTCGTTTGTTCTTCGTGCTGCTCGTTGTTCTGAAGTTAACAAATGAAATGAAAAGCCTGAAAAACATGAGGGTATAGCTCATCATTGTAACCAGATGTTTAGCAAAAGGTAGGAAAAACTTTGCGAAGTCTGGACGTGTTATTGAACACTTCAAATTGAGAATTGGATGAAGCCTGACATTTTCTACAATAATTGTGGTTGGGAAGAGGAACAAGATCCAAAACATTTTATTTTTGCTTTGCCCTTGTAATACTCCTAAGTTTGCTGTGATGTTTACCTTTAAAGGTTTTCATATAGATTGTGGTAGGAAATCAGTGACTCAGAGATGGAAGAGTGGAGCTGTAGGGATAAATGTGGAAATTATTGCTACTGCTTTGAGTTGAGTCACAGAAGACGTTTGATGTCTGAGTCTAAATTAGCAATTCTGAAAATCTCTACTCAGATGCCATCGTACCTGAGGAAATGCTTACAGTCTATAGGCACCTATATTTCCAGATTTACAGGTCTGTAGGTGACTAAAGCTTTGGGCATTCACAGAAGCAGAACAGCCTGAGTGGTACAGAGCCTCTTGCTGCTTCCCTTACACTGGACTCCTCTTCGTGGTCTCCTCACTGGGCTGCAAGACGTTCTGCAATTTAAGATATTTTCCACATCTTCTTCTGAACTGCTCAGCACAGCCTAGAGGTTCATGCCCTTCATTTTCTTTGGCTACCAATCTCTAATTGTGCATGCAAAGCGGCACAGCTTCAGTAGAGGAAGAGATCTGTCAAACAAACTAGAAGCTTGGGCAGATATTGATAAAGTTCAGCCATAGCCAGTCCTTAACAACCAAGTGCCTTGAATTCTAGTGGAGGAACTTAATTTACTTAACTTAGTCTCTGTCTCACACAGAGAAACATTATTAAGGTTGTATCTTACTAATGCAGTTATTAAAAATGTATTTACTGAGATTTTTGAAGCATAGAATAAATGGTAAAATGAATCTTAATAAAATTATTTAGGTGTTTTAGTAACCTTTAATAAAATGTTGTAAGTTTATTACCTAATGTTCAAAACAGCTATGAAATACCATTTGTCTTTTGATGTGTAGAATATGTCATATCCAGTGAATGCTTAGTAAGCAGCCTGACTTTGTAGCTGTTTACATCTTAGCACTGCAAGTGTTAGAAGGATTATTTTTCTGCAGCAAGCCCTAATCTTGCATGCAGGACATTCTTTTCTGTATAGAAAGGGTCTGCCGTGGCTTTATTTTTGAAGCCAAGCAAACTGGGGCTGTGCTGAGTAGTCTTACCTGCAATAGGTAAATACAAGCTTGAAAGCTTTTTAAGAGAAAGCAGGTATTTTTGACTGCGAAACATCAGTTCAAGTTCAGACAAGGTACTAGTGAATAGCATCCGTTTCAACTGAGATTTGTCTAAAAGAGGCAAGAATATTCCATAAGAACATTTTATTTTTATTCTTTCTGGTGTTTTATAACTGAATTTACTTTTTGCTTAAAAATACAAAAGATTTGAGACTAATTTGTGTGTGTCTTAGCCTGTTGTTCATAGGGGTAATGGCTTTCCTTTTTTCCTAATGGATGTATCCCTACAACAAGAATGCCCCGAGATAAAAAGCAGCATCTTGCCCCCTTTTGGCAATATCTGAATGAAAACACTGATCTGTTGCAGTCTGGAACACTGCCTTGTTCTATTTACTGGTTCTCCAAAAGAACTGGGAGACGCTGATGGGTCAGAGCAGGGAATTTCATGTTGCCATAACCCAAACTACTACTGTGATTTGGGTTACAAAAGCTGCTGACTGTAAAATCATAGCTTCTGTTGGCACTAAACTTAAATACAAGAAAACATGTATCATGAACAGTCTGATTTCATTTTTGGTCTGCTTTTGTGAAAGTTTTGCATTTTGTGCAGTCCCTTGCTTGCTTTAAGTTGAACCAACATGCTTTGGATGGATGGAAGATGGTACTGAGAGGAAAATGTCAAACTGGCAGGGCATGTCAAATGGGACTTTGCAGTGGTCTGTTCTAGCTTTCTTACTATGAAATTTCATTAATAGTTTACACAACAAAGGACTTTTTGTTTATTAAATCTACAGATTATCTCAGGATGGGGAGAACTAAAAGTTGGACAGAAATAGAATTCAAAATGATCTTGAAAATTTTGAGAAGCAGCCTGAATATATAGGACTCAATTCAAGAAGGACAAGTTCAAAGTCCTCTTTGAAGGAATAATAAAATATGAAATTACATGTCAGGAAACAGTTGTCTAGGTGCAATTGTGTAGAAATGTTCTGAGAACACCAGCAGCTTGTAAGATAACATGGGTTAATGTCATACTGCTGTGAAAACATATACATCATAATTAGAGGTATAAATAGGAGTGTAAATAAATAGATAAAGCATAAGAAAGGATCCTTCCATTCTATTTTGTGATTTTTTTTTTTTACATATCTAGTTTTGAGTACAACACCTAATGAAATGTGAATTGGTTGGTGGAGCCAAGGGATAGCAATGAGAATGGATGGGTGAAGAAAGACTGAAAGAAATTATTTGGTCTAAAGAATATGTGACTGAAAGAAAACCCCTGTAAAAGTTTGCTGGAAAGAGCAAAGTGGCAATTTGTTTCTTTGCCTTGCATAAGATCTTAAATAGCAGACTTAAACTGAAGGAGATGAGATGGAAGTTAAGCATTAGCAAAACTTTCTGATGACAAGAACATGACAAGCATGATCACGTATTGCCTGGCCAGTAATGTGTCAGCAGTGGCTTAGTTGGGTTGTTTCTGTCTTGAGGCAAACTTGGAAGAGGTGATCTGTCCCTTCCAGCTTTATTTCTGTGGTTCTGTTTAGCCAGTTACTTGATTAGAGAGAACTGTATTGTTAAAATTTGCCTTTTTTTAGTTGTTTGTGGATGCACAAAAGTAGGGACATCACTGGTGCAAGCACTACGTGAAGCTGACTCAAATATCTAGCCCCCATTCAGAACTTCAGCGTGATCAGCTGTTAATATTAATGAATTCTACACATGCCACTCATCTAGATCACAAACCTGGCTGCAATGAAGAGTCCAGCGCTGCTCTGTATTTCCTGCTAGCAAATATTTCCTAGGGTAGTCATGTTTGCTCTGAAAACCCTTTCAAAATAAACCCCTGCTTTGATTTCCTGTGTGTTTGAGAATTGTAACGCACTGTCCTCTTGAGCAACGTAGTGCTCACTGTGGGTGACAGGTGTTTATGTACAATGGTGCAGTTCTATTAACGATGGGTTTCCTCTCTTTCCCCTTCCCTTTCCAGAAATGGAATGTGAGTCAGACAAAGATTCGCATAATTTCAACAATAATATTCATACTGTTTGGCTGCGTGCTGTTTGTTGCTCTTCCTGCAGTTATATTCAAGCACATAGAAGGCTGGAGCACTCTAGATGCTATTTACTTTGTGGTTATCACTTTAACTACCATTGGATTTGGTGACTATGTTGCAGGTAAGACTTTCTCGTAACTCCTAATCTTATAATATTTTGCACAGTGATATATGTTCTGCATTTTGTATTGTTTTGGGACAGACACATCTCTCTTGTGGTGCCTCTCCCAACTTTACCCCTTATCATTCTTGTGTCTGTGCATGTGAGGGGGCCAGCCCCCATCCTGGATCATGTGGCAGGCTAGAGAGAGGAGGTGGGACAACAAAATGCATGGTCTCTGTCTCTTCATACTTCATTTTTTTTTCTCCTGCACTGTTAAAAGATGTTTTACTTAATTTTTATGTAGATTTTTTTGTTCTTACAGATTGAGTGAATTGCAAGAATTAATACAGTATTTTAGTCTGAATATTTTTTCAGGTGGAATCACTTGAAATGTCTCACATTTGTGAAGTTATATGACATAGGTTTTGTGTGCATCTCTTACTTTCAAAGTGTTGTTCCAGAGCTCTGTTTCTGCCATTGAGATGTCTCTGTTACTATTGGATCCTGCTTCTGTGCTTTCTTTTGTTTGCTATGTATGCTTTGTGTGTGTGTTATAATGTAAAAGGAGAAGGTTTAGCACAACCCATAGATAACGTGTCCAACTTTTATGGTTCTATTAACTTGGATTGGATTGGTTGTAAATAACATTGTCAAACTGAGCTAAAAAACTCTTGGTCCAGTTCTCTGCATCAGATTTTATCTTGACAAGGTGTTAGAGGTGTTAGGCTGCTTCTCAGAATAAGATTGAGTAAGCATATGTTGTCTGCGTTGAAGTGTGTTGGTCTGAGTCAGGGATGTGTTGAGGTGAGGATTAGAAATTCAGAGCTTTCTGCTGAGTCCAAAATTTGCCTGATCTTACACTTCTCCTGATGCAGCACTATCCTCTTTCTCTTTCTTGAGATGCCTCTCTCCTATCTCAGAACTCTAAGGCAGAGGTAGCTGAGAAAGGCACTCGAGAAGGACAGCGGAGCTGGGCCGCTGTCAGTGAGCTACCCTGCTGGAGGGAAGCCTTTCTAGTAGACATCCACATGGCATGGGCTCCTCCTGTGTCCCATCTGTAGCCACAGCTGTTGCAGGAGTCCAAGTGCATCAATGTAAGGGTCTCAGGTTGGGTAGCTCCTCCAAATGACTTGCAGGCCTGCCTAAGTTTGCCTTGATGGCAAGAATGTGACTGGTCTTGTCACTGCCAAAAGTGTCGGGTTTTTTTAGGTTGATGAAGTCTCACAGAGACATCTGAAGTGTCTAAACTATTTGTCGTATTCATAAATGATTTGGGTAAAATGGGGGAAATTTAGTTAGTGTTGAAGGCACTAAGTTATGCAAGCTGCTTAAAAAATGAAGGCCAAGTGAGAAGTTGCCAAAGATTCTTATATGGAACTGGGCTGTAAAATGGCGAATGAAATTTATTAGGACTTTTATGTAGGTTTTTTGTGATGTTTCTCTATTTCTTTTGAATGTGTCTCACTGATTTCTCCCTTTCCCTTTTCCTTTCCCATATTGTTTTTCTTATTTCCATTTTGTCTTCAGAAATTTGTGATTCTGGTCAGATTTTAACTAGAACTAAGTAAAATATGCTGTTTCCAAGCCAAGAGTCTGGGTGTTTTAGACTTTCATTCTTGAGGGATACATGTACATCAGGGAATAAAAAGAATAGTATATAATGGCCTGGTTATATTTACTGTAAAGCATTATGTGAAATGGCCCACTTGGCTCTAACTAGAACACTGAGTACATTCATCATTGCTCTCATTATGAATTTCCATGAATTCTTCTATTTGTAGACCACTTGATATCATAATTTGTTCCTACATCATGTCTGTTTTTTTAATTTTACCAGGAAACACTTTCCTTTTCTACAGAATGTCCTTGAATTACATTGTTCTATAGCTTATGGTCTTTTATGGTTCACTTCATATATATTTTTTTATTTTAAAGTTCCACTGTAAATGCATGATGTAAAAATGTCATGAATGTTTTCTATTTTCCTTTAGAGTAACATCCACAACACTTGCATTTGTACTGTAACATGTTATTGACTTAAAGTTTCACTGCGTGAGAATTGTACTTCCAGAGATGATGCTCAAGAGAACAGGGTTAGATGACTATCTATCTCCATCATAACTGGGAGGTTAACATTGCCATTGAACTATATTTTGTCACAGATAAAATATTTTCAGTTGACAATATGATCATCTTCGTGTGGACTAACATACTCAGTTTATGGCAGATGACTTGTAGGATTTTTCAGAAAGATCCATTTGTTTTCTTGTCATTCCAGTACATAATTGTCTAGTTAAATACAAATTCTGAAAAATAGGTAAGGTATTAATTGACTGTGGTTTGCATTGTGGAAGCTTACGGTCTTCAGTGTGCATAAAACCCAAGCTATTTGAAGAAAACTGACATTGCAACTTCTCAATAGAGCTGATAAAATTTGTCTTAAGGGCTAGGCTTCTCTATTAATTTTGAGGAAGTATGTAGAATCTTTTGCATGCTAATGAATTAGTAAATTGTCTTTATGATTTTTCTGGTTTGCATGTTTTTCTTTTAGGTAAGTCATAACGACCACACAGACACTAAGGGCCACTGATATTTTTGTGATAGACTTCATCTAGAACACTTGCTCCTTGAAGTCTTGGAAAGCTGAGTCACATAAACAGGGGCAAAACAAGCATGTAGAGTTAAGGCATGTAATGTTGTACAAGGCTGTAGGGGAGATTGTTATGATAGAATGACTATGAGTATTGCATCTGAAATTGTGGCTCTAGAACATGATGTTCTCCATTCTGATTTGTCATGGTGAGGCAGGCAGCAGGCAGAATGACACTTCAGTCTACTTAGTGCCTAGATGGCAATGCATTTGGAAAAAAAGCTCAAGCTGGCATTAATTTCTTTTTTTTTTTTTTTTCCTGGCCAGAAAGGCATGTTTCTTAAATAATACTGAGACTGAAAATTACCTTCTTCCATTCAGAATTACAGTCTGATCTAAAGCAGAATGGTGAGCAGTGATACTCTAATTTACAATTATAGTGAAATGAAGTCTTTTAGCAATACAAATAAAATTGGCAATTCTTGTAGCATAATGGAGGGCCATGGGATATTTCATGATTATGTGTCAGTTTTGGCTCATAAAGCTCCCTCAAAAATTCAAATCCAAAATTCCTAAATATTTGAAAAGTTCCAAATATTCTGGTAACTTTTTTTTTTGGGGGGGGGAACTGTCATCCCAGAAGAAAAAACCCATAAGTTTGCAAGCCCTACATACATATGTCGTGGCTGTGATAACAGGTGTATAGGGATTAAAAGAAACATTTCTTAGAATATCTGTCACTTTTCACTAACATGGAACTTGCTGCTTTCTGGCACAGCCGCAGGTAAGAGCTGAAGAGAAACCTTGAAGAACTCTTAGTAGGTGAAGGAGAGAGTGTTCCTGAATAGCTGTGCCAAGAAGGTGCCGCCAGAAGAACTTGGGATTCAGGAACATAATGGTGTTAAAGGCTGTAGTGCAGATTGTCATATTAGAAATTCTTGTAGAGTTCTCCAGAATTTTTCTACAAGTTTCTTCTCACTTGTACTGGAGACCAAGTACTCTGTTCCCAGAAACTACAATGACAAAACATCCCATTTGCACTCAGAATCTAGGTTGCTGTTTGGAGCCCAAGGAAATTTCAGCTGCAATTTCCACCAGCAAGAGAAGCCTTAAGGCAAACATAAGACTGATCGCTCAAGGTGCATGCGAGGAGTAGTGCATGTTCAAGAAAATATATGAATGGTAATTCCAAAAAACAAACTTAATGTTGCTCTCTTATGAAATGGTTTGATTTTTCTAGTTTTTGGAGGGGTTGAATTTTTTTTTATTTTTTGTAGGGAAATAAATGTTTTTTTATAACTGAAGCAAGTTTATTGTTGTAGCTTTTCACAAAAAAAGAGACTGTACTACAGCCTGCACTGTCTCATGAAAATTAGGGCATTGTCAAACATCCCCTTTCATATTTTCAAGAGAAATCATAGACTTTAATATGACAGAAGAAAATCCAGCCAATAATACGAATATTCTGTGAAAGAGATAAGAAAAAGATCTTTTAATGCCAAATGTGTCATTTTTTTAGTATGATGAAAGATATTGGGTACTAAAGTTAGCACTGAGGTACATGTGTGTATATATATGTCTAACATGGCAGTGTTCATATGTGCAGATAAATCCTGCAACTGCAATGCAGATTGGAAGGTATAGTCAAATATTTCTAAGGGAGTTAATCTAAAAGGTTTCAAATCTAAATTAGATGAGATGCCCAAAACTTGACTGAATTAAGTAGAGGTCAGAAATATAAATAGCACATCAGTAGTCTGTTTTACAGCGTGGCATAATGATGATATAAGTTTACACTGTAAATTCAACAGATAGGAGTTTTGCATGTCTCACTTTAAAAATGTATTCTAACTCTCTTGGTTTCTTTGTTTGGGTTTTGTTGGGTTTTTTTCCTTGTTTGAGCTCTGATATTTTTTTTTTTTTTAGCTTATTGCTGCTTTACTGTTTTGGTCTGCAATCAAATTTGCTGTGTTGCTACTGTAATACAGATATCCGGGTCTGCACTGTATTGCTTGGCCTGAGATCCAGTCTGTGAAGTACTGAGATATTTTAGTCTCCTTTAATGTCACTGAACTGGAACGCTTCACCTGGTGTCAGAGCAGCCAAGTTGATCTGCTCTCACTATGTGATATTACTTACCCAGCAGAAAGACCTCTACAGAAAGAAATTGCCATCATGCCGAGCAAGAGGTGCATGTCGAGCATCCCGTAAGAGAGCTGTGTGCTCTCCTGCAGGCGTTGTGCCTTTTCTTGGCATTTGGAAGTGCTCTTTGCCACCTCAGGACTTCACGTCCATAAGAGGGGCTGTCTGGTGTGAACCATGCAGCCTGCTTTAAGCTTAAGTCAGCATGCCGTGTCTCACTTGATTTCTGTATAGGACAGCGTGTAAGGAATGTTTTATAGCTGTGCTTTGTATTCTGAAGTAGCTCTCCATTTTCCACTGAGTGGCATCAAGTAACTCGTATAGTCTACTTACATTCTTTCTCACAGACAGTGCGATGTTATCTTGTCCCAAGCATGCCGCTTTTCTGCGTCTCTGCATCACCTAGCCTTTCTCCGTCCCTTTTTGCAGTCCTCGGAGGTAATTCCTTTCCAGCTGCAGGGCTGAACCTCCATATTTCTTTGGAGTGGGACAAATGATGTTTCTGGATAAGCCTCTTGGTCAGGTCTGTCACAGTAGGGGTGATGGACAGCTACGCATTGTACTGCAATTAAAACTGTGTTTGGATTTAATCACATTTCTATACTCAGAATAATTTGTGCTGCTGATAAAAAAAAAAAAAAAAGACATCTTCTGGTTTGAAGGGCTAGTTGTTGAATAACCCAGAAATCCGTGCTGGTATGAAATTAAGATACTCAACACCAACAGAACTTTCTATGCTCTGCTTCTACTTTTGAAGCAAAAATGGAAACAAAACCAGACAACTTTACAGAAATGATTTCATGTTTCTATTTTGAGTCAGTTAGCTGTAAAAAGAATGGGGGAAAGAGCGGCAACAATAAAGAAAATTATTTACTTAAAATGTACTTGGTTTATGTAATTAAGTAAAAAATACATATGTTTGAAAGCCTGATCCCTTATCTGAGGACCAAATCTGGCCTAATGCACCCCTGAAACCTTCTCTAATGCCATCCTTCACTAAAACACAGAGATTTTCACCTCAGTAAGGAATATGTGTTTGGGCCATAAAACAACCTATGCCTTCCAAAGTGTTGAAAATCCCAAATGATTTAAAAGTTGTTTGGCAGATGTAAGAATGGTGGCAGCAGCAATACAATAGTCTGAAGATGGATGGAAAAACTCTTGATTTCTCACAGACTTTAATGGACTTCAGATCAAATCTTTACCACCAAACATCTTGGCAATAAACTATGGCTGCTCTTGGTAAAAGATTATGGCAGTGAGATTTCTAGTTAAAGAGTAAGTACACTCCAGCTGAGGAGATATTTCTTCTTTATTGTGGTTGTAACCTATTTCAGGTAGAGGCCAAAGTTGGAAAAAAGTTTGTCCCTTGGGCCACAAAATTGGTTTTGCCAAGCAAACAACAAAATTCAGCTTCTGCCTTCTCAGCATTTTGCTTCTTAAGGGGCTAAATAAAATGATCTGCTTTGCAAAAGATGATAGCATTATTAAGTTTATGCTATGAAGTTATGCTATGAAAAATCCATGCAAATGTATCATGCTGGTATACTTTTTACAATGTTACTAGTAAAATCATTAGATGAATTATCTTGTATACTTCAGTACAAATATATTTATCTATGCGTACTCATATCCAAATACATTCATACCCATTTATGTGAATTGTAAATCAGTAGTAAATGAATTTCATTTACTTAAATTCAGTACAGTTGACTTTTGATCATATTTTCCTACCAGTGAAATTGTATTTGATGACTTTCCTAGGTAACTGCATTGTAGCACTCTGATGTTTAAGCATCTCAGGAGAGTAGTTATCTCAGGACAAACATCCTTAGGTATGTCTCTCTCTCCCTGGTATTCCATTAAATTGAGACTTCACCCAAGGAGGCCTGGAAATTCAGAAACTCAACAGCCAATAAAGATTTGAGCTGTTAAGCCTTTTCCTACAGGGTCGTTGACTGTCCCTTTCTAACTTTAGGAAAGCTGAACTCCTAACTTTAGGAACTCCTTTGGGCATGGCTAGATGGAGCCATCTCCTGGCCAGACAGTAAAGAAAACTCTTGATTGACTATGAATGTGTCCTAACTCCTGCCCTGCTAATTAACCTTGCTGTAAACAAATTAGGTATAAATTGCAAAGGAATTGCTCCCTGAAGACTGGCAGAGTTAGGGTCCTGTTTCAGTTTATAAACTTAACACACCAAAAACTAGAAAGTAGCTGAGTGGATGCTTTATGATACTTTCTTGTGCATTGTATGAACAGCTGGAGAAGAATGTGAACCAATGAGCATGGTTCATTACTAGTTGCTGACAGAACAGAGGCATGGTGGTAATCAACCATTCCTTTGAATGACAATAAATTTTGGGCAAATAATCCCTAAAATCCTGTTTGACTGGATTGATGTGAGCTGGATGATGTTAACAAATTGCTTAATTTCTGATATCTTGTTTGTCTTGGGCTGTGACAAACTCAACCCTTTGGTTGGCTGTCTTCTGTTCCAGACGGAACCCTGTCTTCTACCTTACTTGTGACTGTGCAGGTGTCAAAGTATATTCATTTTTGCAATATGGATTCATCTCTTGGATAGTTGAGTAAACCACTACAACTCAACGAATTTTATTGATGAAAAGGCTTATTGGCATGAGAATAACAAAATTTCTGTCTATGAGGGCTTCCATACAAAGATAATAATCAGTAAAATTCTTTTATTTGCACGTAATCTCTGTGATGATTAGATAGTAAGTTAGGAAAAAACATTACTCTTCATGGGAGCTGATCTTGTTCTATAACAAGATGCTTGATATTTTGGTGCCAATTTTCCTTTGACTGCTTCAATATACAGGTACATGAAGCAACACATTATGTACCTGTACAGACTACTTTAATATGCCTGAAAAAGTTTTACTGTAGGGTCTCTTGAATTGTGGGTAGATACTCACATCAAACTTCTACTTGCAGCAACCCAAACTAGGAGCCTGATTTTTATTTGTTGTAACACAGCTGAATTGCAAGTTTAAGGCTTCTGTTTTATTGTACTGCGAGATGTGAAATGTGGGTTATTTTGTGTTGTCAAGAGCTCTGGATGAACATAACTTTTGTTTTTGTGTGGAAATAAGACATCTGTTCTCTATAGCTGTATTGTACCTGGAAGCTCTATTACAGACATCTCTGAAATTTATCCTTTTTACTTTAACCTTGGAAGGAATTAAGTGACTGGTGCTTACAGCAGTGGGATTCAAAAAAGCTGCCTTCAGCTAACATCTATTTTATCCACCTTTTTTTGAGTACGATCAGTTCAGCTCACATCCCTGCACCCTGATTTCCTCCTCTGCAAAATGGAGATGATAATGTTTGTTAATGCAGGTGCTATTCTCCTTTACTAGGGCTAAAGGATTCATGTAAGTATTGAGATGTGTTTCAAAGTTCTTGCAAAACTATGTTTCTCAGGATATGAACATGTTACATATTCCAGAGCAATACTTAAAATTTACTACAGCATTGTTATTTGGAACAGGTGGGAAGTCCTTTTATTCAAGCTATCCTCAATGACCTCTACCTTCAATAATGATAAATCAGAAACTGATTTGTTTGTGTTCATTTTTAAATTATTATTAATGATTAGCAATCACCCTCTACAATCTGCATACTTGAAATTGTGTTTGGAAGAGTGGATGAGTTTAGATCACTGTTTATTCAAATTCAACAAAATGTTTTGCTATGCATTTTTCCATGGGTAAGAAAATAGAAGAAGTTGTAAGAAACATAACTTTTTTTATTAGGAAAAACATTAATTTAAAAACAGTTTTGCACTTAATAGTTAAGTCTGTTTTAATTTTAATTGTGTTGTTTTTTCAGGGGGATCAGATATTGAGTACCTAGATTTTTATAAGCCAGTGGTGTGGTTCTGGATCCTTGTTGGGCTTGCTTACTTTGCAGCTGTCCTCAGCATGATTGGAGACTGGCTAAGAGTCATATCAAAAAAGACAAAGGAAGAGGTAAGAACACTTTGAAAGGGGAAGAAATACTACTTTTTAAAAGATTTAATTAGAAGCCAGGTGAGCTTATAGCTGCTTTTGCTCTTAGGGCATGGGTCAAAGCTGTTTATGTATGAAGTATATGCTGTGGCTCAAACAGCAGCAAACTTTGTAGCAGTCTGGTCAAATACACAGTGATTTTTACATGGCTGCATATAAAATTAGATTAAATGTATTATTAAAATAAGTGTATATGCACATCTGCACCTGACTTACAGGAAAAACTTATCTAAAGGGATTATTCTAGACAGTAGAATGTAGTCTTTATAGTAGTTATATTCAAATACCTTTGATAATTTTATAGTGGTAAGAGAATAAATGTTTCATATCATGCAAGGTATTGAAATTAATTATTTAAATATGCCTGGTTGTATTTTACCATAATACCTAGTTATTTGTAGTCAGATGCATTGCTTTCAGTTCCAATATATTTTTACTTGTCAATGTGTATTTATCATTCCAATGATGCTGCAATATTTTACTTAAAATTTTATCATTTAAGAAATGATAAATGTTAGAGGATAAATAAAACTTCCTTTGGCAGCTAGCACACTTCAAGTTTTACTAGAAGTTTGAGAAATAAATTCATTTTGTTTTAAGCAACGTATTATTTCCCTCTAATTTAACTTCAGTTCCTCTGCGCACATCAGTTAGTTAAACATAAAAGCTCTAATTTCTTTTTGATGGAATGAATATGTTGGTTACTGTGCAGTAGCCTACTACTGAGATCATTTTGAATAGTTTTCCTGGCTATAGGGCATGGCATCAACACCTAGATGTAATCCTGGCAATCCTTGAGTTCCCAAAGCCCTTGCTGTAAAGGGCAGCGTACCCCTGGATACCCTCACTCCCTACAGGCCCTCGGGGTCCCTGCCGCTTTCTGACCGCGATGGTGACAGCAGGCAGGAGGATGGGAGCTGGGCACTTGGGTAGGATTAAGCCCACCTTGTGAGGCACGTGGGGTGGGCAGCCCTCTTTATTGCCCTTGCGATGCTCATAGCTCTTTATAGTTAGAGACGTCATTGTGGCGGCTCTGCTCTAAGTACACTGTCACCAAGCATTTCATAAACACTTAACTCTGAAGCAGAGGACAACATTTATTTGATCCGTTTCATTTGAAGAGTATCATCTTTTTCTCCTGTGCTGTAAATTTGAAGGGATATTTATAACTTTCCTCACACAATGAGCTTTACTAGTGTCCTTCACAGAAACGGAGCAGCGGGTATCGCACAAGTGTTCCCATTTGCAAGTTCAACAGTTTGCAGGATCACAATTTTGTTTTCTGGAAAAGCACTGAGGGTGTCTTTAACACCCAACCTGCATGATTTACACTGGCTGCAGTAAAAACCAATAGATCATTTCAAATGCCATTAACTTGCATGGTGGGGTTTTTTTTTGTTATTTTGAACTTTGGAATTAGGTCGGTCTAGCCCATTTTTCCCTCTGCACATGGAAGTAGTAAGAGCTCGCAAGTACGTGTGGTGTTTCCCCTGTGCGCTCTCCTAGTGTCGAACTGTTCTCAACTTGGGGCATTTCCTAAACTGCATTTAGTTTCCCTGGGTTCCTCATTTCTAGATTCTTGGAAAAAAAGTGATATAGCTGAGGCACTATGACTTGGGACTATGCAAAAATACCTTGTTCAGGCTTGGTTTTGTTGCATTTCCTCAGACACTGGTGACAGTTTAGTTCTTCACGCTACTTCCTAGAATTCATCTGGTCTCTAACCTCGCTCTTCGCATACCCTTCCAGTAAGGTCTCTGGATGAGATGCTATCTTGACTATAATTGTATGTAGCACCCTGAGGGTTTAATCTTGTTTACAGTGACTCATTATCAATATTATTATAATGATGATAATATATTAAGAATGTTTGAATTTTATGATATCTTATTTTTACTTTATACTGAAGTTATTTCAATATAGACTAACTTTGGAAAAGATTTAAAGAAATGTGAACAGAACAAGCTCATGGATTCCTTTAACATATTAAACACGTTCCTAGTTTTATCAAGTAAAACTCCATTTGCCAGGTTATGCAGCACAGTGCTATGCCAAACTTTCTTTTCTCAGGCACCAGGAATGTATGTCCTATTTCATCTTTCCATTCGTTCTCACCTTTGTAGCCTAAACAAGCAGATTCATTTTGTCTACAGAAAGGGAAACCTCATTCTTCAGATATATCCAAATTCTTTTGGCTGATGCAGGTACTCAGGATTTTGCTGTATATGAGCGTTTCATGTGTTAGGTTAGGCTAAAGACAGACATAACATAATTCGTAGCATTTGTTCAATTAATCATATCTCTGATGTTCAGAAATCTCCGCCCCCCCAACTTCTTAAGCCATTGCTCAGACATGTCTGAGAATTCGTAGCAGAAAGAAAGTGTTTTAGCAGTTTAAAAATGCTAGTTTTAAAAATGACAGAAACCAATTTGAGAACTGAATTATGGCATAGTACAAGTTGTGTGCTAGTTAGAAAATATGAAAAATTATTTCTGCATTCTATCGTAATGATAATTTGTAGGAAGAAAGTTATAAATATATTGCATCTTGTTGTAAGATTTGCTGTGTTTGAACAGAAGCATTGCATTGTACGAACATTCACTTTACAGGTAGCTTTTTATGATAAAAACTGCTGCTCTTAGCTCATTCTTACTATCTGCCTAGGAAAATTTGAGTGAAGAAGCTGAGGGAATTTAGTGGAAATGTAGTCATCAAGTCTCCTCTATGCCAGCAGAAGCCAGAGGAGACTCTGATTTTCTTGTCTTGTCTGTTTTATGAGTTAGACCTAAATTTACAATGGTCTGTTCTAGCTTCTGTGGATGCTGATTATAGCAGAGGAAACTATGTGGAGTTCAAATCGAACTAGGATTTTCCATTGCATTCATTTCTACTCAGTATGGTTCTTTAACTGTCTAAGGAAACGTTCGGTCAGTCCTTGGGGAAATAGCTCATTATACCTAAAGGTAGCCTTCAAAATTAGAAACAATGTTATATACTGAAATCTACTGGGAGACAGAGGCTATGATAAAATCTTTAGGACCGTAATTAATGCACCCTGAAAACTGTCAGTGTCTTATAATTCCTAGGAATTATATTAAACTGTTTCAGTCTTCCTTCATGAAACTTACTATGGGTATCAACTCCTACAAGATTTTGTGTAGGATTTGTACCTTTCATGAAAAAAATAGTAGTAGCCTACCATGTTTTAGGGAGGGAGCATGTCATTCAGTGGTGATCAGTTGTGTTGGTTTCAGCAGTCTAAGACCAAGCAAGCCAAGTCTAGTGAGTTGTACCAGAGTCCAGGATGAAGACAGAGGGGTTGCAAGTGTTGAAAAACCCCTCTCTTTACTTCCCCTCAACAACCAAAACCGTATATCAGCCAAGGTATTTGATATCCCTTTTGATAGGCAGCTCCTTTTAGCCTTTTCCTGTAGTCTAAAGAAAAAAAAAAAAATTAGCATATTTAGGGTGTATATTGTGAAAGGAAACCTTCATATTCCAGGAAGCGAGCATGCTGATAATGAATTATTACCTAATATCTATAGTCCTGTTCCCATTTTTCTTAATGCAGCTGCATTGTTCTTAAAAGCAGTTTACATAAGACTTTGTGGCAGTAATGCATTTCACTGTTTCAACAAAATAAAACATCTATTTTTTTTCAGGATACTACCAGGAAAGTTTGCCATGTGCAAGTGGAACTGAGCTGATCAGATATGCACTGATCCACAATAATACTGTATTTTGATATTAAAATCCAGATATCCAGAATGTCTGTCAGTTGCTCAGGTGGCTTTTGTTTCCTGAAAAACTCTTGAGAGTTTTGAAGGCATCAAATGGGGAGGGACGTGAAAGACAAGTAGAGACAGAAGTGGGAGTTTTAGAAGGATAGATCTGCTGCTGGAAGCAGCTCGTACAGTAAGATAGATGAAGTGTCAGAAAGTCACTGGAACATGCTGTGTGCTGTAGTCTTAAGTAGGCGATCTGTCTCTGAAGTTCAGCTTCAGCTGTACTAGCTTGCCTTAAACTCCCTCCTCTTCATTATTCTCTGTACTCTGATTACTCAGAGCACTTTTAAAGTCTTCTCATTTTAGTCGCTTTGAAAGTTAAAATTT